AGAGTCTGAGACATCATTGAAGTCTAAAAGTGCCACATTGGGAGCTGATAGCCGTTTAAATCTTGAACGCTTGCTGGGCAATAAGTTCCTTTGACTCCGGGTCAATGCTTTAGCTGTGAAACAATGCTTGAGAAATCATCTGCAACAGTGCAAATTTGAACTAGATAGTTTAGAGCAAGCATATCGTAAGACAACAACCAATAGTAAGTGACTGAGCCAACTTTTCAAAAAAATGGGGACTTATATTCTTTTTGAAGCCAAAAAACTACAGGAACATTCAGAATCTCAAATAAAGCGCAAAGAACCAGGAATTCAAAAGTTGGCCAAGAAATACAATGATATCTGTGCTGAACTGGAAAAGATGATTAAAAGAAAAGAAATTCCTCATGGTGCATGTGCACCACACAGAATAGCCACTGATGGCCTATTCAAACTAGATGTTGATGATGACATCTGGCAGGATGTTGGTTTAGATGACATGGATCTCTGTTCTGGCAGGGAAATCCCACAATGGCTGGGTGATGAAGGTGTGCAGAAAGGAATTAAATCATTAATGGAGCTGGATCGATGCCAGAAAGAGCTGCGACGATTGTCCTATGAGCGTAGTGCAATGCAAGAATGGTTTGAAGAAGAGTGGAAGTGTGTTATGATGGCTATGGAAAGTGAGCAAGATCAAGATGTTAGGTATCAACTGGAGTTACATGCATATACTTTGCTATATCTATGCAACATCTGGCAGGATAAAGTACGCTTAGTGATTCCACACAAGACAATGAGTCCATCTTGGGGTCCAACAGTTGAGGAACTTGCACTGGCACAAAATTGGGAATCATCTGAAATGACAATGGAGAATGAGATTGATGGTAAGGAAGAGGATGAGAGTGATGATGATGAAGACCAAGAGGATGATGGTGAAGAGCAAGAGTTGCTTACTGTTGAAATGGTAGCACTTTCTGATGAGTTCCGCAATAGTTACATGCAATAGTTGGAATGTACTAAATTGAATAGCATGTGAAAAAATAGACTATTGTTCATTGATTTCACTTTTCTGCCTCCAGAAACATCCAAGATACTTCTCAGTTCTACTACTATTTTCTGAAAGTATATTCTGGAAAGGTGAGTTGATATGTGGTGAAGATAGATTTATATTTCAAATATATATATGTATTTGAAAAATATAGAAGATATATCCTGGGTCAGGATATAATTGAAATATATGTCTTATGAATATATTCTTGTTCAAGATATAGTTGAAAGATATATCCTTGTTAAGAGATAGGTGTGACTCCATACTATGACATGGTGAATAGAATTCATTGTCCATAAATTTACAATCAAAACTCAAGAGAAAGAGGAAGGGAGGCAGGGAGAGAAGAAGAGGAGGAGAGGAAGAAAGGAAGAGAAGGAGAAAAACAACAAAGAACTTGGTGAACTCTTGTCTGTGAAGGATGGTAATACAGGTGTGGGTGGAGTATGTAGATAAGGTGCAACTGAAGAGAGAAGAAGAGAAAGATCAAAGAACTTTGTCAACTTGATGGTAATACAGATGTGGGTGGGGTATGCAGATAAGGTGCAACTTAAGAGAGAAGAAGAGAAAGATCAAAGCACTTTGTCAACTCGATGGTAATACAGATGTGGTTGGGGTGTGCAACTTGAGAGAGAAGAGAAAGATCAAAGCACTTTGTCAATTCGATGGTAATACAGATGTGGGTGGAGTATACTGATAAGATGCAACTGGAGAGCAAAGCACTTTGTCAACTTGATGGTAATACAGATGTGGGTGGGGTATGCAGATAAGGTGCAACTGGAGATCCCAGAGCTGAAGTAAAAGCAGAAGTGGAGGGGTTTTCTAAGAGGCTAAAAAATTCTGTAGTGTGAACTGTATCCATAGTGTCAAAGTGGATAATATGCAAGCAACACAGAAATCTTCGACTGAATAGCTTCAAGATGAATCACACATGTTATTGAGGCCCAAAATTGTTAGAGGAGAATAAATGAATCTATAAAGTGACTATATTCATAGTGTGATTGGAAGTGGATGACAGATGCTATGGATGCTTCTTATTGCTACCTACATACTGGGAGCACAGGCCAGACATAGTGCCAAAACCTCTGGAATTTATTGCAGAATCTTCCAGAATATATATCCCAGACAGCAAAAAAATCACAACTTTTTTGCTGAAACTAGGACCCCTGACACCCCTACAGACCAGAAAAATATATCCTTACCACATCTGTTTCACAAAATATATCCTAAGGCCAAGCCAGGGCAAAATATATTTCTCAGGTGTGACAGTGACATTTCAGGGTCCACTCACCAAAAATATATCCTTACTGCATTTCACTTGCAAAATATATTTGGGGGGTGTGACACAGACATTATAATTTTTGTGTGACATTTCAGGGTCCACATCTCAAGAATATATTTTAGATTTCAGGGCTTTCTAGGACCCAGATATATCTAGAATATAGATATGGTCCATGACATTTAGTCATGTAACTTACGTGTAGTTTGCATGACTAATAGTCAGTTGGCAGTGGGTGACTGAAGTGCTTGTGCAGCCGGCTTGGAACCCTTGCAAGGCCATGGCATCAGAATCAGTTCCACCCTTGAATACCTCCTGTGTGGCGTACCCTTCAATGTCATGAAGGTGAAGGGCCACTGGTCCAACGACGCCTTCTCACTCACCATGTCAAGACTTCTTTTCACCATGGGTGTTGCAGCTTGTCTCGAACCCCTCGAGGAACACTTCTTTCCAGTTGGAAAGCACTTTGTGCTTTCGCCTGATTGCTTGCCATGTCATGCCTTTTTAGAATTACTACATAGATGATATACACTACACCACTGTTAATGTTAACCACCCCCTTTCCTCTGGAATCAGAGTAATCCCCATGATCTGCAAGCACATGGTGACACTCAAAGAGTGCACACTACAAATCTTTTGTAGTCTCACTACAAGCTTTTCTAATGAAAAAGCAGACACTACAAACTTTTCTAAACTTTGTAGTCTGACTTTTTGTAGTCTTTTGTAATCTATCAGTAAACTTTGTAGTCTGACTTTTGTAGTCTATACCTAACTCTTGTAGTCTGTCAGTGTCAATTTCCCTGTTAGGGCATGCACCTTCTTTTTTTGGTCATTTTTCTCACAATATGATAATTGTAGCCCTTTCTTTTAGCTTTCTAACTGTGTTGAAATCATGTTGTTTGATTTTGTTTTTATGGAGCAAAAAGCAAAAAAAAAGCAGCACTCAGAAAAGTCTTTTACATCATATCTTCACAATAGGAGCACTTCAGAACATAATTCAAATAGATTCTAGAAGCTAGTGCAGGGCTACAACTTTATTTTTTTTGCTATTTTAGGAAATTGGTCATGTGAGCACTTTCCTAACAACCCTGAAATACCAAAAATATCGCCCTAGGCAAGTAATAATATATAGCCCTGGAGAACAATGAAATATCAAAAATATAGCCCTGGGGAAGAATGAAATATCACCCTAGAGAAGCAATGATATGTAGCCCTGGCAAAGAATGAAATATCAAAAATATTGCCCTAGAGACAGTACTTTGCCTTGCATCACTAATTCCTGCAGGAATGGCACTGGAATCCACTGGAATGAACTAAAAAAGGATATTTCCTCTGGAATGGGCCTGGATTCCACTGGATTCTGACAGAAGGGACCTGTATAAGTGTTGTAAATACAAATGTGTGTATATAAACTAACTTTTGTCAGCTGTCAGTGTAAGTTTAGAGTATGCACTTTTCTTTTGGAGCCAATTTTCCCATGATACAATGATTGTAGCCCCTTCTCTTACCTTTCTAAATGTGTTGAAATCATCTTGTTTGGTGTTGTTTTCATGGAGAAAATGCAAAGTTTAAAAAAAAGTCAGTGATCAGAAATTCATTTATCTCATATCTCCACAATGAGGGCATGTCAGCATTGGAAAGTACGGTGATCATGTATGGCGATCTGTGTGGCGATCTGTATGGCCGGAAACGTGACATTAGGCACGTGATGTTCAAATACTAGTCTGTGTCGCATCGCGTTTCACCATGCTCCTTATTGACCTAGTTGAGCAGCTTGAAGGCCATACCGTGCTTCAGAGGATCTCCCTTAGTATTCTTATGACACTTACAAGACTTACATTTTTCTACATCTCATCTGTACTTACATGTGTGTAATACTGCCCATGGTGGAAAGAGTGCGAACCATGTTCATAAAGGAGATAAGTAACTACCCCCACTCATTGTCGTACCACGAAATGAGCTTGACAAAATTCACGCTCAATGGGATTCCAGCACCCATGTCAAAGATGGACGAAGCAGTGGGCACATGGAATGCGAGGCCGCTGATCGGGAGCAAAAGCAAAAGTAAGCAGTAAAAAGACACAGTAAAGGGAGGAGATCATACGTGAGTTTCCCGTTGAGCGAAGGGATGACCTTGCCAACGGCCTTGGTAGCACCAGTGGACGATGGGATGATGTTGTTGTTGATGCTATGTCCACCACGCCAGTCCTTGTGGGACGGGCCGTCAACAGTCTTCTGAGTCGCGGTGGTGGCGTGGACGGTAGTCATTGGACCTTCAATGATACCAGTTGTCGTGAATGATTTTGGCAAGAGGGGCGAGGCAGTTGGTTGTGCAGGATGCGTTCGAGATCTGTAGCTGCCGTAATCAACTCAAAGAAGAAATGGAGGATAGATGTGTACGCATGACTTTGACAGCGGGGTCGTACTTGTCCAGGTTGACACCGACCACAAACATGGATGCATCGGCCGATGGGGCAGAGATGATGACCCTCTTAGTGCCACTCTTCAAGTGGGCTGAAGCCCTGTTGATGATCAATCAGGATGATTTAATGGGAAATGTTAAACGCCTACTTTTCTGTGGTGGTAAAGACACCCTAGACAGAAGTCAGCAGTCAGCATCAGGTGGTCTACATCAGAAGAGGAAGGACACAAGGTGGCCTCGACGATATACTCAGCACCAGCCGAACTCCAGGTCGCGCTCGCCGCTTGCCAATGATGGTGATGGGCTTGCCGTTGACAGTGAGCTTGCCGTCCTTGGCCTCAATGGTTCCCTTGAGTCGTCTGTGCATGGAATCATACTTGAACATGTATATGCTTATTATTGGAGGGGGAAGAGGGAGACCCAGGAGGAATGCATAGCGCACCGGTGTTTTGGACCGATGTAGCCGCCAAACATTCCGCCAAACATTTCGCCACATACACCGCCAAACATTCCAATTCTGACATTTTTTGTCCACAATGGGAGCACTTTAGAACATACTTCAAACAGATTCAGAAAGCTACAGTTGTGGACAAGCAAAGTCATTTAAAAAATAATTTTTATAAGCCCAAAAATAGTCGGAATTGATGCAGATTCACAAGAGCTTTCCAGCTATACCACTTTCACCAAATTCTATTGAACCAATCCCTCAGAAATCACCAAAATAAGGTTTTTCTGCCTCAAAATATTGGCAGACCCAAAATTTCATCCAAAAATCATGAAAAATAGTGCAATCAACTCCTTTTGATGAAAGGGGAATGATCCCATAAAAATTGGAAACTTTTATCAATCCATTTCAGGTAAATAAATTCAGTAATAGCTGCCAAAAATGGTCATTGATTAGTGATCAACCATATTCAGTCTCCGCTCAGACCCCCCCTGATCTGTGGTCAGTCTTCTTCTTAGAATTTCTTTGACTTTTTGTTAGGTCACTGCAGATGGTACCTATCACTGCCGAGAATTTTACCCCACAACTGATGAGCTTTGAGTAGTTTTGGTCATCAAGGCCCCTGAATTGAGGCAAAAATTCACTCCAAAAATTTGGCAGACCCAATTTCTTGTGAGAAAAACTTTGGAGGTGTGTTTTTCAATGTATTTCAACAAGCTGTTTATGATCCCGAAGTTTGGTTGCAGTTTATTGAGCTGTTCCCATGCTACCAAATTAGATGACTTTGCTTGTCTGCAACTGTAGTGTAGAGCTACAACTTTTGTTTTTTTGGCTATTTTTGGTAATTGGTCATGTGATCATCATCTTGATATCCTGTTGAATGAACCCTGACAAGCAGAATCATCATTGTCTTGATTTTCTTGACTTTTCTCAAATTTCCTTTTTTGGATATATACCCTGAACCCAACAACAGCTATTTGGAAATGTGCACAGACCCCATAAACAGTACCCCAACATTGTCAACAGTAGTCTATACTGTTTTTCTGTTTGTCTGGCTATAATTTCACTAATTACCATATTTGGAAATGTGCACAGACCATCTAAACAGTAACGTAACAACTCCACCATACTGCCCCTATTTTCTTTCCTAATTTTATTGGTATTTTTCATCTGAAAATGCCATATTTGGGAATTTTTATTGTTCATTCCAGTCACTTCATTCCAGTGCCATTCCATTTCTGTGCATTCTGGGGACTGTTCCAGTGTAAATACCAGAATAACAACATTCTGAAAATTTGTCTGGTAAATTCCACTGGAATGGCACTGGAATCCACAGGAATGACTGGAATCCAGCAGGAATCAGTGGGGCATGACTAAGACCTCAAGATATTTAGGCAAGTGTAATCCTAGATTACCACTTTTGGATATTGTTTGGCAATGCCTTCCCACATATTTGGTCATATATATATGCGGTTCTTTAGATACTTTGCATCTCTCTCTCTCCCATCTACCACCACTCTTATCACTTCCAGAATCATACTTGCGGTTAAATTCTGTCGGTTCTGTTGAGTCAGTGTTTTTCTATCCCTTTCTAAGGGATAGGTTTCCACTTTTTTTGAATTTCCCCTGCTACTATTGATTCTGACACATGTATT